GTGGCGGGCGCCTGTGGTCCCAGCTACTTGGGAGGCAGAGGCAGGAGACTCTCTTGAGCCCAGGAGTTGGAGGTTGCTGTGAGCTGTAATGCCACAGTACTCTACCCAGGGGGACAGCTTGAGGCTCTGTCTAAAAAAAAAAAAAAAGAAGCAGGCTTAAAATAATGACAAAGAAATAGAAAGCTGGACAGTTTTAAATGGATGTTCACATATTTTCTAGTCAGCATTAAATACATATTGACCTCGGTAACAAGCAATTTGGAAAAATAAATAAGCAAATATGTATTAATCCATGCAAACCAGATAATCCTCTTCTTTATTAAATACAAAGAGCCACATCATCAAGTGAACATCAAAAAGGTTGATATGTGCGGGGCAAAAAAGAATTTGTATAGTATTTATCACAAGACATTTTATGTCTTAGAAATGACAAAGACTGGGGGCGGCGCCTGTGGCTCAGTGAGTAAGGCACTGGCCCCATATACCGAGGGTGGTGGGTTCAAATCCCGCCCTGGCCAAACTGCAACAAAAAACAGCTGGGCGTTGTGGCAGGTGCCTGTAGTCCCTGTAGTCCCTTCAGCTGCTCTGGAGGCTGAAGTAAAAGAATTGCCTAAGCCCAGGAGTTGGAGGTTGCTGTGAGCTGTGCGACACCAGGGAACTCTACTGAGGGCGATAAAGTGAGACTCTGTCTCTACATTAAAAAAAAAAAGAAAGAAAGAAATGACAAAGACTAGCTCGTGGCCCATAGCTCAGTGGTTAGGGCACTGGCCATATACACAGAGGCAGGAGGGCTAGAACCTGGCTGGGGCCTGCTAAACAATGATAGCTGCAACAAACAAAAATAGCCAAGCATTGTAGTGGACGCCTGTAGTCCCAAGAGAAACGCTTAAGCCCAAAATAGTTTGAGGTTGTTGTGAGCTGAGTGAGACTCTGTCTCAAAAAAAAAAAAAAAGAAAAAAAAAGACAAACACTATTATTCATTCATTACTGACCAAAGGTAAGTGCTAGGAATATGTGCCCTCAAAAAGCCTTACAGAAAATCCCAAACTTCTCTTTTACAATATGGAATTGAGGTAACGGTTTCAGATTCAGATTAAGATTGTGTGAATACCTGTTGATCATGTAATACCCTCACTCAAAATTTTTTTTTTTTTTTTAGAGACAAGAGTCTTTCTTTGTCGCCCTTGGTAGAGTGCTGTGATGTCACAGCTCACAGCAACCTCCAACTCCTGGGCTTAGGCGATTCTCTTGTCTCAGCCTCTCAAGTAGCTGGGAACACAGGCCCCCGCCACAACACCCGGCTATTTTTTGTTGCAGTTTGGCTGGGGCCAGGTTTGAACCCACCACCCTCGGTATATGGGGCTGGTGCCCTACTCACTGAGCCACAGGCACCACCTCTCACTCAAAATTTAAATTCAGTTAACAATATACTATAAAGGGGGGGCGCCTGTGGCTCTGTGGCTCTGTGGGTAGGGTGCCGGCCCCATATACCAAGGGTGGCGGGTTCAAACCCGGCCCCGGGCAAACTGCAACAAAAAATAGCCCTGCGTTGTGGCAAGCGCCTGTGGTCTCGGCTACTCAGGAGGCTGAGGCAGGAGAATCGCATAAGCCCATGAGTTGGAAGTCGTTGTAAGCTGTGACGCCACGGTATTCTACTGAGGGTGATAACGTGAGACGGTCTCTAAAAAAAAAAAAAATATATATATATATACATATATATATACACACATATATATACACACACTATAGAGGAATTCAAACTATACTTTTGTTATAAAATAGTATTTTGTTCTAAGATTTTCATCACAATTCAGGATTTTAGAACTAGATGACCAATGATCTAATTTAAAGTATCAAGCACCTCTACAGTTCTGGACAGAAACAGTCAACCATGTACACGTAGCTTCAAGAGTTGAAAGCTCTTCGGTATAACATTTTAAATAACACATTCAACCACGTTCATCTCGGTTCCAGAAGAAGCCTGCTCACAAACTCAGTTTCCCAAGAATTTTGGAATCTCCTATTCAGTACAAAGGGCAACAGAAGACAAACCAAGGCATTTTAGTGATTTACGCTGGGGCAACATAAATAAGATGGCGTTACTGACATCTACCTTAAAAAAAAAAACAAACCTGTAATCAATTAAGACAACTTCTGTCTCGAGGCTGGGGCCAGGTCACCTAGAAATTCTTCCCTGCAAACGCTAACTTTCGGTGTGCCTGTTTAGGAAAGAACGCTCTGTAGAAACAAAGCCATGATTTGTCTGGACTGCAGTCCCATCTGTTCTTTAGCTGTCTGCAAAGAAAATGAAAATCTAGGCTCGGCGCCTGTGGCTCAAGTGGCTAAGGCGCCAGCCACATACACCTAAGGTGGCAGGTTCGAATC